TATATATATATATATATATCACTATATATATATATATATGAAAACCAACATAATGTGTGTGTATAGATATTGAGCTTAACGTACTTAACACACATAATATAAATCCTAAACTAAATTACCCAAGCTTGATTGGTCTTCAATAAGCTCTACTTGGTAATCTCGCGGATGAAGCTTGAACTTGGATCTTGAACTTTGAATTGCAAGGCTTCACCGACATTCCGCCAACCTCCTTTGGATATGATCGTTGAAGCTCTATTCCATCCATCCTCCAACTACGTTGTTTGTCTATAATAAATACGAAAACACAAATACTAGACAAACAACATTAGTGGTAAATTGTTTGTTAAACATCATCAAAACAAGAAGGCCAACAATCTCCCCCTTTTTGATGATGACAAACAATTTACAAAAAGGATATATGCATGAAAGGAAATGAATATACAATGTATAATATATCATGCATATAAACAAGAAAGAATATACTCACAATATTTCTCCCCCTTTGACAACATCAAAAAGGGGACAAAAGAATTAAGAGAGCGAAAGCTCCCCCTATCAATAAGCATAGGTGAGTATCAAACAAGTATATGGATTGCTCCCCCTATCAAAAAGCCATATAGAATATATGCAATGAAGATCATGGCAAACATATGTGAGTAAGCATAAAAGATATGCTAACAATCACTTACATTCAAGAGATAATGAGAACACATATAAATGTATCATTTAAAACAAATGTCTCATATCAAAGAACATAAACATTATGTATAAAATAGATTTATGAAAGAATACATGAGAATCATGTAAAAAGTTTTCAAAAGAAAACAAATCACTCAAATGAAATCATAAATCAAATTTTAAGTCCAAAAGCAATGTTTGATCAACAAAGAAAACTTTCTTTGAAAAACTTGATCAAACCGTATAAAGAATACATTATAGAGCATATTTGAAATGTGAATTATCTATTTGTGCTATATAATGAATTCAAAAGAACAAATCAAAATAAGATTTTCATAGTTCAAAAATAAGATTACAAAACGTACTAGAATCATGAACTATGGATAAAAAATCTTTTAGAAGTATAAAATCATGAAGACAAAGGATTTGATCAATTAAAAATTTGTTTTCATAAACAATAGATTTTAAGACATAATTTTCAAAACCAAGAGAAGGAAATGTAAGAATACTAAAATTCTTGGTTTAAAATTTAAATTTGTTTTGGTACCCAAGAACTCTTGGTACCAAAAGATTTAGGGACATGACCCCTATCATTTAAGCTCAAAACCTTAGGGTTATGAACCCTCTTAGGTATATGTGGTGCACTAACATGGTCAAAACAATATTCATTCAAATGACCCTTCCGATTGCAATTTGTGCAATGAAAGAGATCCATTTGTTTTTGTGGACCATTAGTTCGTGCACGTGAATCATTTGCAAATAAATATTTTCTTTTAAGATTATTTTGCAAATGTGAAACATTATCAAAACAAAACTTTCCTAAGTGG